CATTGTACATTTGCTGTTATGTTAAATTTATATTAAAGTTTTTCTTCATTACCCATTTAAGCCATCTCCAGCCATTATTATACTTCTGGTAAATATTCTACATTCTGCTAAACCACTTTTGAGATTTCCTGGTCAAAACTATACTGTAAAATATTTCATGCTTTATATTTTTTTTCTTTCCAATATGGCAATTTCACCCACTTGAAAAAACATCAAACTTTACACACAATACCAAGTATACAGAATCATAACAGAATTCAAGCCATGCATACTTCTCTAACTACCTATTCTGAAATTTACATTTCCCAGGAATTTTCAAATCTTAGGCCTATAAGCTTTAAATTTTTTCTAAATATAGTATAGCATCTTTAAATCTTAGGCAAGTTTTTTTATATACACAACCAGATCATTTTTAAAAATAGTTTAAACTCTATTCTAGAAATTTCTAGAACTGATCACTGAGCATCTTAAATAGAAAAGTAATCAATCACATTCAAGTTTATGTAATCAACAATTAATGAGTTAATGCTCAGATTTACTTAGAATCATATCACTGTTTTAAAAAACATGATAAACTAAACACTACAACATTCATTCAGTTTAAATAAGATATACCCTGGAGAATTCAATTATTCCATCACTGGGTGGTTTTCATTAAGATTCATAATTTGACTTTTTATGCAGAAATTTTATCAACAAGGACAGATTTTGCAAAAACCAAAAAATGGATAAACACTTATTTCTATTTTCTATGGATGGTTTATTTTGCATTCTTTCATAACTGGTCAGATAGGCATGTACAAAGGCAAACTTGAGGTGCATCCCTAACATGCCACACTACATCCTGACACCCCAATAATATTTTTGCATGCATAATAAAAATTTCCAACATACTTTTCTTGGAAAATATGTACAAACTACAATAAATAAGAAGTCAGTGCAATTGTTAAAAATAATATTTTTGCATGCATAATAAAAATATCCAACATACTTTTCTTGGAAAATATGTATAAACTACAATAAATAAGAAGTCAGTGCAATTGTTAAAACATTTTTAAATTGATAACTTTCTCACAAAGAAAAATATTATTGCAAATGTCACCTAAAGTAAGTTTTTCAGCTTTACTTTTGTGCCTATCACATAAGAGTCTCATTGTATTAATCAGTATTTGTTGTAGTGTAAGTATCAAATGGATTTTGTTGTAATTTGTAAAAGCAAAATGACTGATATAAGTGTTATCCCAGTTTTTATTGCCTGATGAAAGGCATCTGCTCAAAACATTGCAGAAAATAAACTAGAAAAAGTTTTCATTTAGATGTGTCAATTTATTCTTTATTATCTTTTATCAAAGTTTGTTCGCCATGGGATTGGGTATAGTTTTGTACCTTGCCCTTCAAGCTTGTTTCTTGATGTCTTTGTCTCCAATTTCTCATCCACTTCCTTTGGCTGATGATGCAATCAGAGAGGATTGAGACCTGTTTATACCTTTCTTTTCTCATCACATTCATCATCTTCCCTGGGTGATTTCATTCCTCCTTGTCACTCGATGTCAGGTCTTTCTGATTTGCTCCTTCCTGGCCGACAAAAATCTGGTTTTTCAGCTGCTTCAGCTCGATTTGTCCTTTTGGTTTTGGATTGATTTTTCCTACATTCCACTTTGGTGGCTCAGTGGAAATGTTCTTTCTTTTTCTTCATTTTTGTTTCCTTCCATCTCCCACCTTTAAACCCTGTTGGATCTGTTTAGCCTTTTATTGTCTTGTACCTGCTCTGGATTGCTTCATTGTTTTCAAT